CCAGTATTGCATTGCGCATCCTTACTGCACATAATTTATGGCTTCATTAGCGTGCGTTCATGCACGCGCACATTGAAAACATGGCCAATTTGCGTTGATATTGAGTTCCGTCAGTTGAATAATGGCTATAGCTCACTAATGAGCTCGGGCACCCCAAACTTTTTTCCAGTCATTTTAATCAACTAATCATTAGCTTTGCGTGAGAAAAGACTGATCTGATTTCTATTGCTGAAAATTGAATAAATAAGGAAATTAGCAGCTGCACTGTAGTCTTTTCTATTTTGCAGTTTGATAACCGTGGCAAGCAATTTGGTTCCAATATTTAAACAAGGATTCAGCTGTCTGTCAAAATCAAACTTAAAAAGTTTATTTGTGTCCGACACAAGTATTGACTGTAGTCTGAGGCGTGTTTTCATGAGTCTGGGCTCACAAAAGTTTACAATAACTTGGAATGCGTTCTTGTAATAAGCATTAAATAACGCTAAAATGGGACATTTTCAATGCCTGACAGCTCCTTAACGAGCATGGGCACCCCCTTTTGTATTTTATAATTAAAGTTCTCACATGATAAATATTCACAAAGTTTGAACAAAAATCTATGTGCAGTTTTATTTCAGGGGAATTACCTTAAAATGGTATTTTAGAGTTCTCATTAAGCTTGAGCCCCGTCTAGATTGGTTTCTTTTAAGATTTTCAATGAGCATCCCCGCCCCTTTCACCCTGCAGCCGGTCCACCTAGGTAGTCAGTGAAGTTCATCAACTTACTAAAGCTTAAACCGATGTTTGAACAATAACTAGGAATAACCCCTTACTTAAACCAGATAGAGGTTTGGCCAGTTTTGTCCCAGCCGTTAGCAGTAAACCATCCGTGGTGTGTGTAATGAGGAGACCCTCCCACTACATCAGGGTCGTAATTAGTAGGGGTACATCCAGAATATGGGCTTCGTCCCGAACCCGAATGGACACTAGGAAAAAAGGGACCCGTGGTAAAGGTTGCAGAAGGCGTGGTCTTATCTTTAAAACCGTAATCGGTGTGATATGAGTCGGTCCATGTCACCCCCAGTGCTTCCCCCAGGGCATTTCTCACATACGTGCCACTTTCTCCTTTCAACGCTTCAACGACAAAATCAACAATATGCATACGGCCCGGCTGTCCGCCATTGTAACGGTTATGATTTGCAAATGTTATTTTGTAAGGGTTGTTCTTTAGGTAAATACGGTACACGTATGCATATTGGTTGATACCACCCGTGGCTGGGTTATTACCCGCAGCCATGATCATGTAACCAGCGTTATTTGCCATCATTACCGCCCCGTGTGGTAAACTAATCACGCCATGAGAGGAGGTGCGTTGGCTGGGAAGCCAGGCGAAATCAAAGAGACTATTCATATTAGGAATGGCTTTGTTGTTGGAGTTTGTTCCCGTTGTGTGAACGTAACCATAACTAGCGAGCATCCACGCTCCACCAGCAAAGCTCATGTCGCAGTAAGTTTGAGCCGGGGCCGTTTCACCATGGGGCTGGATCCAGTACATGCCGTTGCCTACACTGTCGCCGGCGTCAAGAATTGCCTGTGCGTTTGGTGCCGGGCTCTCTTTGGTTCCCAGTCTTTTTCTTGTACACTGAGCTCCAGAATATGGAGGTGGACATTTACAGAGGTTTTCACTGATGCACGAGCCTCCGTTTTTACATGGCTTTCTTGCATATCTACGTTCAAGAGGAAATAAGAACAACCGTTAGCGGATCTTGCTTAGCAGAATCATTCAAATCTATACTATTGCTNGGAATGGCCTTGTTGTTGGAGTTTGTTCCCGTTGTGTGAACGTAACCATAACTAGCTAGCATCCATGCTCCACCAGCAAAGCTCATGTCGCAGTAAGTTTGAGCCGGGGCCGTTTCACCAGGGGGCCGGATCCAGTACATGCCGTTGCCTACACTGTCGCTGGCGTCAAGAATTGCTTGTGCGTTTGGTGCCGGGTTGTCTTTGGTTCCCAGTCTTTTCTTGTACACTGAGCTCCAGAATATGGAGGTGCACATTTACAGAGGTTTTCACTGATGCACGTGCCTCCGTTTTTACATGGCTTTCTTGCATATCTACCTTCAAGAGGAAATAAGAACAACCGTTAGCGGATCTTGCTTAGCAGAATCATTCAAATCTATACTATTGCTAACCACTAACCATTAATTTGTCTACTGCATATAATTAACATCCAAAATTTTTTTCATCTTGCAAGTGAAATATCTTACATGCTTATTGGCAGCGTTATGGAATGACTTCTCGGCAAAGCTTAGCTAAACTAAGCTTTCGCAGCAGTACGACTTAGCTTAGCCCAAGTTCGCATTTTTGAATCTAATTACGAGCAATCTTCAACCTTAAATGAACGCTACGCCGTATTTTAAGAACCTAAGTTTGCTTAAATGTCAACAGAGAGCTTTGCATTGTTTGATTTCATTCCGAGCTTTTCAGTTCAAAAAAGATAAAATATAAAGTAGCAAGCCAGCACTTACTTTTATGACAGAAAGCTCCCGCATAACCTGGCGGACATGCGCACCAGGAAGCGTTGGGTCCTGTACACTTGCCTCCATTGCGACAGTAAAGATCTTTACAGAATACGAAATACAAAAATATTACAAATGAATTGCAACTGTTTTGTCTTAAAAAAAGAACTTAGGCGTTTCAACTTGTCTTGATATCCATCACAAACCTCGTAAATGTTGAACGTGAGTAATGGGAGTCTTGAAACTCGACATTTTGCGGCCGCCATGTACGCTTCCTTCACACAATCCTCATAGGTTGTGTACTGAAACAAACAGATGATAACCACGTTTAAAAACATCTTAGTATGCGAATGCAAATGGAGAGTATTTTCGTGGAACGGTTTCAACGTGCAATGCACTGGATTGCCTCCTTCGCAAGAGCATACAGGTCATTGTTTGTTTTTAAGAGGGATCCCCAAATCTTGGGTAAAACTGTTATCACGTATGTTTTATATGATCGATTTATATGGTCACTATTTGGAGGTCTTGTCTGTTTTTCTGCCACTCTGGATCTTACACTCCTCANTCAGACAGCAACTGAAAGCTAGGCCTAAATATCTTCCCATTTCAAGTGCTTGCCCTGTACTTTCTATGAACAGCGACCGTTTACCAAAATTCCCTTCAACGTATCGTAAGCTCAGCAAGCTCGCAAGAGAACGTGATCCGAAAAATGAAACCGTTTTGTACAGTGTTGTCGAGGTCACGTTTAGTTAGCTTTTTAGTCAAACAAACTTCCGGTGTCATCACTTCCGCTTATTACTTCCGGTGTTACAATGCTTCTTTCAGCTATGCACGTTACGAATTGCGACCAAGAATCGAAGCTAGGGTTCACTCTATTTTGGAATACAACATGGTGCTATGAACAATGTCTTTTTACCCTGCTATGAGTATTAAAAACGCAGTGAAGTGGAATTCATTAAATGAGGGAATCGCCTGTTGACAGAGTCCGTTCCACTTAAGTGTCGAAAGTAGTTCGCATTTGCTTTGGTTTTGTATCACTACGTCATACGATTGTCTTAAAATGTTCGCGCCACTTCCTTAACCAATCAGAAGTTAAACCGAAACCAATTGTGACTCGCTCGCACACATTTTCCAGCGCTTCGCATCGATTACAGCTGGATTGTTTCTGCTCTCTGTGATAGGCCAGAGCAGGAGCCCATGGCCAAAGTGATTAAGGTGAACTCAAGAACATTTTTATTATTATTATTTTTTTTTTATGAAAAAAAAATCAAGAGCATATGATCAGGATCATATTCTCTTGATGAACTACACAGATTAAGGACTCATTAAAATGCTAAGATATAAACTCAACCTAAGAAAGCTGATTTGCTCTATAATAATGTTCACCAAGGTAGGAATTCGATTTAGCGTCCGAGGAGCTTACCGTGTTGTACGATGGCAGCAAAAGGCCGTTATAAGTGGCAATGTGCTTATCTATTTTATTTTCTACTGTGATATGTGGTATCTCTAAATTGCTCAGACTGCAAACTGCGAATTTGGTTAGAACTGATTAGCTGTACTCAAAACTAAACGAATCCTTCTTAACTCAAACTAATTAAACTAAATTAAACTGACAGATGACAACATACTGTTAAGTGTTTTTTTAATGCAAAGACAATAAGATGCCTTTTTCTATTGAGTTTGTTCAGTAGGCTTGGCTCATTACATCAACTAAAAAGTAACTGTTAAGATCAAGACACGACGATCAGGGGAGTGGGACTACCATGTCAAGAAGCGGCGACGTTCTTCGTCTCGCTTAGGGGTGCTTAACGTGTTTAGGAGAGAATATCATTGTTTCTACCTGCCCATGAATCTCTTTTACTTCCATGTACTCTGTGGATAGTTTCAGTACAGCTATAAATTTTCAGTGAGCATCCCCACCCCTTTCACATGGAGTCCACTTGGGTGTTCAGTGAAGTTCATCAGCTCACTAAAGCTTAAGACGATGCTTGTGCAGTCGCTGGAAATAGACCCTTATTTAAACCAGATAGAGGTTTGGCCAGTTTTGTCCCAGCCGTTAGCAGTAAACCATCCGTGGTGTGTGTAATAAGGGGACCCTCCCACTACATCAGGCTCGTAATTTGTGGGGGTACATCCAGAACAGGGGCCTCGTCCCGAACCCGAATGGACACTTGAGAAAAAGGGACCCCTGGTAAAGGTTGCAGAAGGCGTGGTCTTATCGTTAAAACCGTAACCGGTGGGATAAGAGTCGGTCCATGTCACCCCCAGTGCTTCCCCCAGGGCATTTCTCACGTACGTGCCACTTTCTCCTTTCAACGCTTCAACGACAAAATCAACGATATGCATACGGCCCGGCTGTCCGCCGTTATAGCGGTTATGATTTGCAAAGGTTATGTTGTAAGGGTTATTCCCCAGGGAAATACGGTACACGTATGCATATTGGTTGATACCGCCCGTGGCTGGGTTATTACCGGCAGCCATGATCATGTAACGAGCGTTATTTGCCATCATTATCGCCCCGTGTGCCAAACTAATCACGCCATGAGAGGAGCTGCGTTGGGTGGGAAGCCAGGCGAAACCAAAGGGATTATTCATATTAGGAATGACCTTGTTGTTGGAGTTTACTCCCGTTGTGTGAACGTAACCATAACTACCCAGCATCCACGCTCCACCAGCAAAGCTCATGTCGCAGTAAGTTTGAGCTGGGGCTGTTTCACCAGGGGGCTGGATCCAGTACATGTCGTTGCCTACACTATCGCCGGCGTCAAGAATTGCTTGTGCGTTTGGTGCCGGGTTGTCTTTGGTTCCCAGTCTTTTTCTTGTACACTGAGCACCGGAATAAGGAGGTGGACATTTACAGACGTTTTCACCAATACATGTTCCGCCATTTAAACACGGCTTTTTCGCACATTTACCTGTAAAAGAAAATCAATAGGTAGTGATTATCATAGTACTCATGCGCAGATTAATTATTCAACTCAATTGTACCACTTCGTTTCCCTTTCTCTTACTGGTCAGTAGTTTTTTGAATATCTTATTCAACATATAACGTCAAACCATTTTGAGGTACTTCTCACTTTTATGACAGAAAGCTCCTGTGAATCCTGGCTGACATGCGCACCACACAGCATTGGATCCGGCGCACTTGCCTCCGTTGCGGCAGTAGAGATCTTTGCAGACTGAAAATTCAACGATATTGCTGGTCATTAGTTTGGGCATTGCTCAAAAAGACTACAAGGTAGTCGAAGCTGGTTTTCTTTTGATCTGTTATGTTGCCACTGCCCTTCTATTTTCATGAAATATCTTTTTGATATTGAGGAAATGGAATGTTTGCAATGTATCGCCATAAAATGTCAGGAAATACCCTAGAAAGAATGCGCGCCCTGAAAGTTGTCATACTAGAACTTTACTTGGTGATATAGCGCGTGCTGTAACTGGTGTAGAAATCCCTTTTGTTTAAAGGGTCTGACCGCGGCTAGAAGGGCCGAGAAGGAACTGGGTGAGAGTGAAGTGGCCTAGGGGGACTCTTCTCTCTCCTCAGTTCTTCCCTCTTTCTCTTCGCCTTATCACCAAGAAAGCCTGTTCACAGGCCATTTTGTGTGAGGTCATGTGAACGTGGTAGTAGCCCTCTCGTGTTTGCATCAGGTGCGGCTAGGTAAAACGAGTAATTTTCTACTTGTTAAAGTAATTTTCGGCCCAAAAGTACACGGAATTGTAGGTTTTCTCTTGCAATTCTTTGTTGTGTCTACCAAAAGAACTGACTTCTGTCATCGTTTTCTTTTCAATGATGAGCAACATCGCGTGCGCGTTGCAATCATCCAACCAGTACGTGCGTTAAATCTCAAACGGCATTGGTTTTATAGACATAAACACGCAGCGTAATGTAGTTCAAACCTTGGCATTCCTTGCTACTGCAGTATTTGGTGAAAGAGACCTTCGTATCCTCGCATTCCTGGGTTGTATCATTAAGGCCACAGTTTATCTTCTTGGCAAATAGTTGGCAGTTTTCCACCATCTTTTCCATTTTGTCAAAACAATCAAGACACGACGCTAAAATGAGTAAGAGTAAAAACGATTTTTAAAGTTAGAGAAAATTATTTTACTGCTAGAACATATTCACTCCAGCTTCAACAAAGGCTTGAGCTCGTCATAATGTTAACAGGGGGAAGAGAGAACCAGTAACGATGGGAGGGGTATCTTATTTTATTGGAGGTTTTTCTGGATAGACCTGACGTCTCGTTGACTTTGTTGTAAAACCGCGCCCTTCCATGCTTCATTTCCCTTTGCGAGGATTGCTAGCATTTATTTGATCGTTTCATCAGTAGAAAACTATGGAAGTTTCCTCGAGGCAAGAACAAAGCCCAACAAAAGGTTTTTCAAACAAGTGTAACCTCAGGGTATCTTTCTTCGGAATTTTACGGTTTTGGCAAAACGTCAAAACATTTTTGTGACGCTATACGTTGTAACGTAGCTCTTTGTGACATAGATGTCACGCGTTTAAACAAGACAACTAACCTTTTGCACAGTGAGCGGAACATAGACTTTTCAACTTTTTTTCATATTCATCACAAACATTTTTATTGTCAATTGTGAGCTGTGCCTGGCTTGAATCTGCCCGGCATTTTTCTGCCAATTCATACGTCTCCTTCATACAATCCTCATAAGTCATGTACTGAAATGATAAGATAATGATAGTTTAGTTCCGTTACCAAGTTCTAAATATGACTAATCAAGAGGAAAGTTAAAGTTTGGGATTAGAATGAAGGTTT